GATTTGCTTTCTTCTCTACTAAGTAGAATAATAAGAAAAGGGGAGTTCAAACTTGCTCTGTTAAACAAATTCATTCATTCAGTCACTCATTCAACAAATATTGAGTAAGCACCTACTATGTGCCAGGAACTGGATTATGTGCTGGGAATACAATGGAGAGCAAAAACAAATGGGTTCCCTTCGTCATGGAACTGACAGTCTAGTGAGAGAGACAGATAATTTCATTATTAAATAAATGTGTGGTTATAAGTTGTCACAGTCCTGATGTAGCTGCAACATTAATGTAAAGAAATCAAAACTAAATCTCTGCTTACAAGTAGGTTATGTTTTCTTCTTAATTCAGGAATAACTATTCCCGTTTGTGCAAAATACTTTTTATGCTCTTTTAGAGAAAAATAATTTATTGAAATAAATATGAAAAATTATCTACTCAAATCTGTTTTTTAGGTGCTATTTGTGAACAAACAGTATTTCCTCACTTGAGGAAGACCAATATTTAAAAACATAAGGACACACACATACATGTTTCTGTAACTCTCCACAGCACCTGAAGCACAGCTATGTACATGCAGATCCCTGAAAACAAGACCTTTCCTACCTCATTCACTGCTATATCCATGGAGCTTACAGCAGTGTTGGCCACCTATCATATGTGCTTGATATCTTGTGAATGAATGAGTGAATGAATGAATGAATGAACAGAGAGGTAGACTTGGCCCAAAACTTCAGCCATGCCCACTTCCCAGTGAACTGGAGCACACAGCTATAGATGCTAGCTGACATGGCCCCCAGCCCACCCTAGTGATCCTAAATGTCCAGGAAAGCATTCACTCGAGCCAACTCAACTGTGCTGCGTTTCTTCAAAGTGAATAATAGAGTGCCCACAGGCAGTCATTTTAAGCAGACAGACGCCTTCAATTCTTACCTAGAGGACTGGGGCAGCCTCCTGGTTGGTCTCCCTGCCTCTGCTCTTGGACTGCCCAAGCCAGCCATTCCCACCTCTGCCCCACCCAGAAGCCAGAGAGATCTTCTAATGCAAATGAGAACCTATCACCCACTGCTCAGAACCTGCAAATGGCTTCCCACAGCATTCAGAATAAAGCCCAAATTATAGGCCACTGCCTTTCTCTCCAACATTACCTACTTCATTCTACCTTTGCTTTACTGATTTTCTACCACCTTTCAAGCATTCAGGGCTACTGTACACTTCTGTTCTTTCTGCTTGTAACATTTTGCTTCAGATCTTCAAATGGCTTATTGCTCACTTCAAATCTCTGTTCTAATGTCACCTTATCGGCGACCTTCCTCAATCACCTACATATAAACTACCAACTCTCTTCCTCCTCTGCTCCCTTTCCCTCTCTACAGCAATGACACACCATATCACATGACTGCTGATCATCTGTCTTCCCCAGAGAGTGTCAGACCCCTTCGGCCTAATTTCTATATCCCCTGTGCCTACACAGTGCCTGGCACGCAACAGGAAACAGATAATAATCAATCAACTCAAATGCCCAGCTCGTACGCATCCCATCATGAAAGGTGAACACGGTTGTAGCGCTAGCGTTGCCACACTGTATACAGGAGTGCTGTGGAACACTTCTCTCACCCTGTGATTAGGTGAGTTAACATTCCAAAAGCAGGACCTGCTGCAGTGGTGCAGGAGTAGGGTACTATTCTGCAATAGTGGACTCACACTACGAAAGCAGTTCAGAGCCCCAGCTGGCCTGAGGTGCACCCATGATCAAGGCTACCTAGAAGGCTAGGAGCAGGAGGTGTCTTGTCCTTCTTCCCTTGATTTATTTCAAAATAAAAAATCCATAAATGAATAAAAATTAAAACTGATTTTTTCCAAGAGACATCAAAAGATTAGTAATGTAGAGCAATAATGGTTAAAACAATATAGGGCTAATAGCTAGTGAGAATAAAACAGGAGCTTTATAGTGTATGGAAGGAAAATGATTTAGAAAGACTGGCCAAAAGTGAAAGTTAGTGCAAATAATAAAATGGGTATATTTAACAGAGATTAAAATAAACAAAATCTGGGAGAGCAATGGATAATATATTAAGGTCTTCTTTGATGTGTATGCTCTTTACACAAAATTCTCAAGAGAAAATTCAAAAGCCAAAAATGTATCTCGAAACATATTTACAAATCTAGCCCCATGGCTAAGTGTTTAAGGAAGCTGGATTCCACAAGGCTAGCCAAATGGTTCAAGTCCCAGCCCCAACAGCTTGAAGAAATCCCAGCCCCAGCAGCTTGAGGAACACACTGGGCATGTGTGCATGCATACCCCAAATCCTGGCAGGATGAAGAAATAGAGGAAAAGGGACTGCAGTGTGACCACATCCTACTGAAGATGCTTTCTTTCTCTCCCTCTGTCTCTTTCTCTTTAGTAAGCACACCTGGTCGCTGACAATTATTTTTTAAATTTATAAATGCCAGCAACATCAAACAGTAAAAATGTTTTCTATTAAATATTATTTTTGAAATAATATTTCAAAGGGTCAGAAATATCAAACAAAATTTATGAGAGGATGGGCTTGGAATTAATATTCATTCTGGAAACTGTCTCATTCAAGGAGTTATTTTAAAGGTCTATTAATTCACTCTGCCTAAATTTAAATTTTTTTCAAAATAATATTGTACTATTAACAAAGAATAAACACTGTAAAAATACACTGGGTTTGACAATTATATAAAGCCCTTGATATGTAATTGTATAGGACTTCCAAAACATAGTAACTTGAACTGTGTTCAGCATGAGAGTCAATATAACTAAAAAAGAAAAAAAAATGTGCATTTAAAGAGCATATGCAAGGGCGGGAACCAGCAGTTAGCATAATGGCTATGCTGCTGGACTCCCACGTAGTCGACCACGGTTCGCGGCCCGGATCCGGTGGCTTAAAACTCACACCGGGCGCGTGTGCCTTTGTGCCCAAGATCCCGAAAGGAGAATGGAGGAGAAGGGATTGAGGCGTGGCCATCCCCCTTGGGGGGGTGATTTCTCGCTTTCTGTCTCTATGTCTCTCCCTGTGTCTGGTGGGGGGCGCCCCTAAGGGGGGAAAAAAAACCCCCAAAAAAAAAAAAAAAAAGAGCATATGCAGGGGCCAGCAGGTGGCGTGGTAGTTAAGGCACTGGAAAATCCCACATAGCTGACCATGGTTTGAGTTCCGGGCCTGGTGGCTTGCTTTCTCACTTTCCCTCGTTCTCTCTGTTAAATTAAAATAAATGAAAAAATAAAATTAAAATAAGTCATTCTAATACAAAAAGAGCATATGCAACAGGTTAAACATTAGACCAAGAAAAATGTACTGTTGAACAAAAATGAAATTCACATGTGCTCTATGTAAGCCACATATTTCTGATGCTGAACATTTCTAAAATACTAATAAAATCACTGGGAAAGCCTGGTATGCTCAATTATCATAAACATGAATTTCCTACCAGGACAAAAACCTCTAAATTTCCACACAAATACAGATAAAAAGACCAAGACCTGAATGGCTCAGTCCACATTCTAACAGGTTGTACTTGGCTTTTTAAAATTTATTTATTGATATTTAGCTAATTTTATTTGCTATTATTATTATTATTTAATTTGATCAGAGAGAGAGAAAGGGAAACTGAGAAAGCAAGCTGCCAGGTCCAGGACTCAAGCAGTGGTTGGCCATGTCCAGTACCTAAACCACCTTGCCAACTGCTGGCCCCACTGGCTTTGCTACTTACTGATTCTGGGTGACCCTGAACAAATTAACTTCTCCAAGCCTCAGTAACCTCATGTCAACTGAAGTAAAAATGTCTAACTTATAAGACTGTTGTGTGGGAACCAGCAGTTAGCGTGATGGCTATGTCGCTGGACTCCCATGTAGTTGACCGCGGTTCACGTCCCAGACCCGGTGGCTTAAAACTCATGCCGGGTGCATGTGCGTGCGTGCCCAAGATCCCGAGAGGAGAATGGAAGAGAAGGGATTGCGGTGTGACCATCCCCCCTAGGGGGTGATTTCTCACTTTCCATCTCTATGTCTCTCTCTCTGTCTGTCTGGCGAGTGCACGTGCCCTATAGCAAAAATCTCTCCAAAAAAAAAAGAAAAAAGACTGTTGTGAAGATTAAATGAAAAATATTTCAGGAGAGAAAAGGGAGGTGGGGCTTATTAATTGTTAGGCTGTCGGAAAAGTCATGACATATTTTTCTATGCAAAAATGTGTCATGACTTTCTGCTACAGGGCGCATGCATGAGACAGAAAGCGACTGGAATTTATCTATCCTAAACCAGAAGGTCTGAATTCTCCCTCTGGCTCTTTTCCTTTCCTTGGGGTGTGACTCCCAACGAGGCTTCAGCCTCATGTTCTCTGTGTCAGGTATTAAAAGGATCAAATGAGTTACCATACATAAAAGCACCACGAAAGCAACAAACGCACAATCAAGTACAAGAAAAACTTCATTCCTTTTTTGTTTTTTTTTTTGGAGAGGTTTCTGCTACAGGGCGCATGCATGAGACAGAAAGCGAGAAATCACACCCCCCAGGGGAGATGAACACGCTACAATCCTTTCTCCTCCACTCTCCTCTCAGGATCTTGGGCACGCATGCACATGCGCCTGCTGTGAGTTTAAGCCACTGGGTCCGGAACTTGAACAGCGGTTGACTACATGGGAGTTCAGCAACATAGCCCTTACGCTAACTACTGGTCCCGAGAAAAACTTCATTCTTGATAGAAAAGTCAAGTAGGCCAAGAAAGAGAAATTCTGGTTTCTCATTTCCTAGCATTATCTTTGAATAACATACTTCAAACATTAATCACACCTCACAGTAACTAATGAGGGACTATCTCCCTCCACTATACCAGTACCTCCCCTAAACACAGGAACATCATCTTTGTTTCTTCAATGGCTAACATTGATTAGGCTAAAGAAGATGCTCAATAAATATCTGAATTACAGAATGCTATATTTAACCTCTCTGTCACACAGCAATACACTGGGAAATAGAAGAATTACCATTCTCTTTCCGCAATCTTGTTATGAACTTCTTGGGCGGTATCACTCCAACCTTTTTCTTCTGAGTGGCTATGCTATGGAAGAGATCTGCTAAGCATGTAAGAAGGTTCTCCTTCTTCCTAGGTTGACTCTTGTATGCTAGAACTTTTTCCCGAAATGGACGACAAAAATAAAGTGCTTGAAGAACTGAATTGCAGTAGCAGGTATTCCCAAACTAGAATAGAAAAAAAAAAAAAAATTAGCCAAATTTGAAGCAACATATGTTTAAGAGAAAGAATTTCTCTGTGCATAGTGGAGAGACCAGAAAGAGAAGACAGGGAATTTACAATCCACATAAATTAAAAAGTATCTGGACACATGAAAATAATTATTCCACAAATTAGCTATTTTAACATCACATGGACATTCTAAACATCAGTTTCACATTAAAACTTAAGGAAAATGTATATAATAAATCTGACCTTCATAAAAACTGATTTAAAGAACTATACAAAGGGTCTTTAAAAAGTTCATAGAAAATGTGTATGATGATGAAAAAGCTACACATTATTATCTTTTTTTTTTTTTTTGAGTTATAGTTTGTTTCCCTCCTCCCTCCTTCCCTACCCGTACCCCGACCCTCACAAATTCATATGCTAAGACTTGGCTGTACTGAAATGGTGTTAGGTAAAAACTTAAATCCTTCTTGGTTTCTCGGGGTCTGACTTTTGGGTGTAATAAGGTAATTATGGTGGGGTTTCTATGATTGAGTTCTTTATAAAAGTAGAAAGATCAGAGCAGGAAGAAATTATAGATGGCCTCTCTGCTCAGGTCCTGTCCTCAGCCACATTGTAGCCCGCCTAATGTCAGCCTCATGTCTTTGGACTCCAGTCACTGAAATCATGAGTTAAATAAACTTTACTCTTTACAAATCATCCAGTCTCAGGCATTTCTATAAGCAACACAATAGCAGACTAAGACAGATTTCAAATTCTTTTGCATTCAAAAAAAAAAAAAAAGAAAGAAAGAAAAGAAAAAGAAAAAAACACACAAGAAAGTGAGGTTTTTCTTTTTTCTTTTTTTTTTTTTTTGAGAGGTTTTTGCTATAGGGCGCATGCACTCCCCAGACAGACAGAGAGAGAGAGACAGAAAGCGAGAAATCACCCCCCAGGGGGGATGGCCACACCGCAATCCCTTCTCCTCCATTCTCCTCTCGGGATCTTGGGCACACACGCACACGCAACCGGTGTGAGTTTTAAGCCACCCGATCCGGGACTCGAACCGCAGCTGGCTGGCTACATGGGAGTCCAGCGACATAGCCATGACGCTAACTGCTGGTCCCTAGGTTTTTCTATCAGGTTCTTAGGTGCATACAAAATAAAAATTTTAAAATAAAAAAAACAAAAATATTCACCAATAAACAAGATCTCCTGAAATATTAGATTGAGAAATCTGGGGACCAGCAGTAGGCATAAGGACTATGTCACTGGGCTCCTATGTAGTCGACTGTGGTTCAAGTCCCAGACTCGGTAGCTTAAACTCACACCGCGCGCGTGTGCATGCGGGCCCAAGATCCCGAGAGGAGAATGGAGAAGGGACTGCAGAATGGCCATCCCCCCTGGGGGGGTGATTTCTCACTTTCTTTTTTCTTTTATTAAAATTATTTTTTGTATATACATTCAAATCGCATTGTTTAGCTTAAAATGTGAACATTTCAATACGTGAATATTTCTCCCCAGTCCCATTGATCAAAATGTCTTCAATCAATAACACCACACTTCCCCATCCCGTCGGTGCTCTACCTTTGTATCCCTTCTCCAAATGTCCTTCATTAGGCCCCCCTCCTCCACATACACCTCATATGACATTCACACCCATCTCTTGTGTTTGTACAACCGTTAGTCAATCAGCTTCAGTCACAGAGTGCAGACATTTGGTATATGTTAAGTGGGGACATACAATGTCTCTCCTTCATAGCCTGGCTTGCCTAACTCAGCAGTAAATCTTCCATATTCTTCCACTTTCTGTCAAAAGCCAGGGTTTTGTTGGTTTTTATGGCTGAGTAGTATTCCATAGAGTATATGTGCCACAGTTTTTCAATCCATTTCTCCATACGGGGGCATTTGGGTTGGTTCCATGACTTAGCAATCGTGAAAAGTGCCACAATAAACATCGATGTGCAAGCACTTTTCCAATGAAGAATTCTTCCGTCCTTTGGGTAGATACCGAGGAGTGGGATTCCTGGATCATATGGTAGATCTATTTGTAGATTTTTGAGGAATCTCCAAATT